TTTTTTTTTTTAATCAAAGGCTTGTCTAAAGGGTGGCGGTGCAAACTTACCCGACTTCTCTTCATAGTGATTCTAACCTGGCCAGATTCGACAATGTAGAAGCAATCCGCTAAATCACCCTATGACAAAAAGCAACACAGCAATTGCAAAGGAGCACAAAAACATGTAGAATTAAAAAAAAAAAAAGTCCAATAAAAGCAGATTGTACGAAGACATTATTCACCTGAGCAATGATCTGCTGCGAGTCGCTGTACACCCTGGTGGATAGCACGTCAACTACCTTCATTCTCTCTGACACCTGTGCATGAAACATATTTGGTTTGCAAATGTTTTACTGTAAATATGTAGTACACTGTGTAAATGCTGGAGGACAATGTTAATCTTGACCTCTAAAGATGTAAGCAGGGGTAGAGTTTCAATGAATGCCTCATACAGCTTCCTCTTCTTGGCATTGTTTTTCACTATGATCCTCCTGAATGTCAGACGATCCTGAAACAGATTTAAAATAAGGCTTCATTAAACACAATTTCTGATGACACTGACCCTGGGGTTAGACAAAAACTAACAATTCACACATTATAAAATATTATTCATAATAGTGCTATACAGTAATAAAAATAATAATAAACATAATGATGAAAAATCCCCAACCAAGAAGTCCAGACTGATCTCATGTTGTGTTGTGTGCAGTGCCGACGTGGGACAGTTTCCAAATTCGTTATACTTATGACTGTGCAATGACAATAAAGAGTTATCTTATCTATCTTATGTTTGTTCATCAAATAGCTCACATAAAACAATAGTGTGCACTTATAGTTTGAATTTAAGAAAAGAAAAGAAACAGCATCATCCATGTGTCATTATGTGAATGAAATGAATGAAAGGACACCAAGCCTGAACACAAAAAAAGGAAAAATATCACAGACAACATGGTCAACAAAGCTTGCAGTAACATACTGTGCTGCAGGAAACATATGTGACTGCAGAGGGCGCCCTATAGCTGACAAACCTTTTTCCCCTCACCCAAAGGCGCAAGCAAGGCTGGAACCTCATGGTTTAAAGGTTGCTAAAGTTGGACCCACTTCAAGTTCATATCCTATCGCTTGTTTACAAAATGAACAAGGGCCATAAATAAATTTTCGACTGTTTGACTGGATGCATTTTTTGGCAGCACTCTTCCTCCTTGACCTAAACCAATTGGTGGTCAAAAGGGGCTTCCTGTTTGAGATTAGAGACTCAAATAAAAACAACCTACAAGTCCTCAGGTGAGCACAGGACATGGCAGCAACCTACCCAGCTGCACTGAGAGGACTTAACTGAGACGTTACCCGCAGTTCAGCGATGGCTCTCATAGTCACTAATAAGCAGCTTCTCAGAAACAAGTCAGACTGCGACTGGATACTTAACTGGATGTTTTGCCAGTTTTCCTTAAGTAAAATAGCATCCATGCTGAAATGTAACAATAAAACGAACAGAGCCTGGAGGTAAAACAGCTGCTTTCGCCTTAATTTGTGTTCACCTAATGATGGTTTCCACACCGTCGCAGATAAACTCCCTGCTTACTTAAATCATGACAGCTGACAGCACAGCATGCTATAAAAACCCGATTAAGGATCCAACTGTGCCATTGCAGTGGGGTGCGGTGTAATGGTTTACTCACTAGGCACCAAAGGGCTCCAGGTGAAGTGGCGATTATTGTGGCCGCCCTGGGGGTGTTGTACATCAGCGCCAGTTCTCCAAAGCTGCCTCGGTTGTCATAGCAGCCCACCAACTTTTCCGTGCCATCAACCTTCACGAAAATGTTAAACGTGCCACTGAATGGAAAGACAGCAGGGAAAAAATATCTTCAGTTAGCACAAAACAAGGATTTCAGCAATTATTTAGCAACTGTGTTCACTTTTTCAAGTTAAATAACCAACTATGATGCGATTTGAAATTCACGAGTAAGTTAAACCCACCTTTCGATAACGTAGAAGTTGTCCCCGTCATCATCTTGATCAATGATATGTTCCCCTTCCGTGCAGAACTTCTCGAACATGGCATCCAGCACCTGAGACATCTCTTCCTGTCATGGGGGCGGGGACAGCAGTCAGACAGTGAAAGAATCACGCAGAATGCACTCAGAGTTTGTTTTCGAGCTTCCAAAACAAATAAATAAATAACTATCTCTAAAAAAAATTAGGCACGGTGTACTGGGCATGCAGCAAAAAAAAAAAGAAGAAATTTACTGGCCTTGGGCCATGTTTCCCTTTGTTTAATCTAGGATATGGCAGGGCACAAACCAGAGAAGAGCTTATGGAATAATCCACTCACTGGATCCAAATTCTTGAACAGAAGAATGTCCCTACATGCTTCCTGTAGTCTCTGTCTCTGCTCGTCAGTTTTGGGGTGAGTGACCTAAAACATAAATCACGAATCACACTTATAACCTCTGAACAGTTAAACCAGTTGTGTAAAAACAATAATCACTGGATGGATGCAGTTTACCCTTGGCTCTTTATCCTCATCATCTTCATCAGGATTGAATGCTTCAGCACACACTGCATGACACAAACACACGAATCACATTTACATTTCTCTTATTGATGAGCAGCAGCTATTTTGTCCATAGTGTTTTCGACTCTGGGGCAGTTTTCTTGTTATTAGCGACAGTAGATGTTAAAGGTGTTTGTAAATAGAATTGTTAATTGATCCCTTATTAATTGCTTATTTCTTCCCGTCCGCGAATTATAACGCTGAAGTATACTAGCATCTCTAGGGTCTCTGAGAGCTCACTTCCAGTGGAACTGTCTACCAGGTCTTTATTTGAAAAAGCTTCACTTTTTCTTTAAATGAACTTTTAGATGAATAACGACACCTTACATAACATCTGAAAAACAAATGTTCATCTTCAGGTGGCCCACGGCACAGACTTCATCCCAGTCAAACAAAAAAGGCAAATTCCAGGGATGATTCAGGACCAGTTCAGGCAATAAATCTTTCAATAAAAACAACTTTTCTCATCTTGAGTACAGGAATATGCGGTGATGGATGACAGCACTCTTACCACATTTCCTTCCTATATGTTAACAGAAAGATGGGGTAGTGGTATAAAAAACTTTCAACTTGACACAGGCTAACGTGGAATATGGTAAGTGACCAGCTTAATGTTAACTTAATTGAATCTGTTTTCATTTCATGTGCAAGATTTACGGTTTGCTAAGTAAAAGATGTTCGTTCCCCGTCTGAAGTGATAAGAGGTAAGGTAAATACCCAAGTTATTAATAAATAATTCTTTCCATTCAGAAAGGCAAACCAAGCAGCTATCCAAACACAACTAAGTTATGTGAAGCCGCAACTTTACTATTGCTACATTACTCACTGACGGGTTCGAGACAAAGTGGCTTCACAAGCTGTAACATATCAACACTATTACAATAAGTGGAAGACGGTAACAAAAGACAGATGGAAAAATACTTAAGTATCACTTGTACTGAAGCCAATCTGACGCAGCCTCGCTAGTCATGTGTCACAGAAGGCTTTATTTAATGTTTTCAGCTCAGACACTGTCCAGAGTTTCCCTCCTTGACACAACAGGAAGATGGTAACTCACCTGATGCTCTTCGGATGAATCTGTTTATCACAGGGGCTGGAGAAAAGAAAAAGAAAGATATATATCTGTATTTTTTTTTAAAGCATGTTAGATTTCACCATAAAAGATATCCATCCATCACAAACTGTTATTGCTAGTAAGGTTTGAGGCCGTTGTATTTCGTTATCTACAGCACAAGTGGAGCATTCTCATTAGGGTCTATATTCATCTGAGTAAAAGCTGAATGGGGGACAGCTGCTTTGAAGTGGATTTTAGCCTTTGAATCAAATTTAAATGAGAAAAACAGTGCCAAGCTGCTACACAATAGGTCAGTATGAAATATACATTAGATAGGTCTCGTCCATTAATGGCCTGCCAGCCAGTGATGACTGGGGAATCTCATTGAAATATGGGAGGCATTAATGGTGGTTGGTTGGTTGGTTGGGGGGGCACAACAATGACCCAAAACACAGACGTTTAACAACTGCATGCGAGGCATTTCTCCTTATGTAACCATTGCAGCCAGTCTTGCAGAAGCCACCACTCATTGGGATGCTGTGTCAGAGCTCTGGGTTGCTTCTGGCTGCACCTCATTACACTCTGGCAGCAGTCACTGTGTTAAATACTTCAGGAAATGTAGGCCTGTCGACAGCACATTGTGTACTGCCTGCATCTATATAACAGATAAAGCTATAGGCCTTTATATTTTACAAGCTTTGTCTTTTTTGGGAGGTACATATGAAGGGGAGGCCCACCGGGCCTGCACCTGAGACAGAAAACATTTAAACGGTCCAGATGTTTTTATGACTATCATAATTATTTATAAAGCAAAAGAAGGCGCAGTGTGCAGGTGCTATTCTCTGAGCAGAAACGTGAAGAGCATAACACGTTCGTGAACCAGCATTGAGCCTCGGTGACCATATATGGCAAATGACAGAGCCGTTGTAAATGTATGGCGGCAGCATCAGCGCGCTCGATGTGGATTTTCATTCTCTCCCACGGCCATCCATCCATCCATACATGCTCACAATTCAAAGCAAAGCATCTCGAGTCAAGTTCAGCATCCCCCCATGACAGAAACACGCACGGTGAATGTGTTAGCCCACCTATGAATTCCTCGTCATCGTCGTCGTCCTCCTCTCCGTTTTCCGAATCGATCTGCATGGCTTCGTCAATGAAATTGACCGCTTTCCCAAGTCTCGGGGCCGAATTTTGGTCATTGCCAAATGAGGCCTCTTTGGTCTCGTTCTCCTTAAGCTGGGTGAAATACTGTAGCGCAAACTCGAGCAAGTCCCTGGGCTGATTCCTCAACACTTCCACGGTAAAGCTCTGTAACAGCTCCGTCAGTCCTTCAGGAATTTCTATACTCATTCCTGTTATCAGTCTATGGATATGGACAAAACCGGTTTGCTGCGAATTTCAGTGATTCAAAAGCACCCAGATCAGGTTTTCTTCCCGTCGTGTTTTTTGGTTGGCTTTTTTTTAAAAGATGCCGAAATCAGCAGACGGGTGTGTAGTCAGACCACCCGCTCAGCAAGCCCTCCACAGCGGATCCTCTCTTTTTCTTGAATGAAAATGGCTCTGGATTTTTGGTCCGAACATCTTCTGCTGCTTCTGGCTAGGAAACCCACGCATGTGACCCAGGAATCCATGGCAACCACCTATCCAGAGATTGCGTATGAGCAGCAGCGGCGCAGAAACTGCAGTCAGTCGCAAAATACAAATGATGGGAAAGAGAAGCCCTGGGGAAGGCTCTTTCAGTCATAGATCGATTTTTCACTAACAGAGATTAGATCAAATATCCTGCGGTCTGGCATGTATGTTTGCCGTGGTTGTTCGCTCATACTTACCCTAAACGATTAAAAATATGATTAAATAAGAAGGGCAACATCGCATATTATTTAAAAAGAAAAAACAACAACAGCAGCAGACATAGCAAGGATGAAGACAAAAAGGTACTGCCATGCAATGATAAACACTGAACCTCAGGGAAATGTACTATTTTTTGTTTATTTGTTTGTTTTGCCACATGTAATTCATATTTAAACAGGTAAACATTAAAACCTAAGACCTCTGTAAAGACCTACAAATCAATAAAGATTCGTTCTGTATTTTTATTTAGGCTTTCTTCTTTTTAAAGGCGCTAATAAGAAAAGATCGTTTATGATAGTTTAGAGAGTTTGGAGGCTCATTTCCTAGGGAGAAAATAATAATACATGTGCTGGATATTTTAATGTCACGGGACCTGTCAGAACACTTTGACCACGCCAGAATGAAGTTTCATTTCAGAATCAAACGTTCCCCCGTGATATCACGGACTTGTGTAGCTGAACATTTAGTACATTAGGAAAACGGCTCAGACAAAGAAAAAATAAGTCTAGGTCTCAAACTAAAGGCCATTAATCATAGACTTCATATGGGCATCTATCAAGAGATGAACCAATGATGCTTTTCTGTGGGTCACAATATGACTGAGCCACAAAAATGTATATCCATAATATGAGTTCAAATTTGGTTGACACTTTCTCATACCAGAAACATTTGTAGGAGTGACATGAGTTCACAAGCCTGCAAAACTACATTCTGTCAAACAGCTAATCCAAAGAGCTTAGCAGAACAAGGGGAAGTAGAGCAAAACAAGGGGGTAAGGGTTAAACTGGAATGCAGAGCAAGTGGGAAGTCTGCCCACTTGCTGAGGTTGGGTGACCTCAGGTGAGTTTTAGTCATGGCATGTGGTGGCACTACTACTACAGTGTGAGAAATCCTCCCCCAAAAAATCCCGTCTCATATTGTGTTGGAATTTCAAGGCTTCCAGCAGAGAGAAGGTTAGTTTGAGGGAACAGATATTAATTGTGCTAAAGGAGCACAGCTATTATCTGCCATGGTTATCATTCCACTGTGGCTCCACTATGACACCCCTCCCCCTGCTGTGGCCCATATCTGTCACCCTTTATTAAGAAAGGCGCAGCATTTTCTCACTCCGGCGAATGGGAGCATGTCGATGGAGTGACCTGTAATGCTCCACTGCTGCAGTTTAGCTGTTAGCTTTCAAACTCACTATTTCAGACCACTGTGAACTATAAGACACCCCCCCCCCCCACACACACACACACACACACACACACCTGAATACAGCACAACGCCATCATTTCATACTGTAAGAGTCAGCTGCACAAACACAC